AAAACTTTCTTAATTTCACTTAACAAGGGCGCAATTGGAACTTTCTGTGGTCAAACTCTGTGGCAGATCCGGTTGCAGGTAAGTGAAAATTTCGGAGGTAAATGAAGATTTCGGAGGTAAGTGGCCCTACAATTATAAATGGGCCCGGCCGACCGACCAGGCCCGACCGACCGGATTGAAGTTAGGCCTGACCTGACAGGTTAAGGTAGGTCTGACCGGACAGAACCACTTAAAGTGGGCCCAACCGACGGGATTAAAGTGCCAACGTTGGAGAAGTTTATCACAGCCATGACAAACTACAACAATGCAAACCAGGATGGCTTGATCCAAAGGGCTCCAACGTATCGCGCGCAAGACGGGAGACAAGATCCTTGTGGTCAAATACATTCAATCCCTAGTCTTGCCGGCGAAGCGGTCGGCATCGTTGCAGGCCAATGAGAGGCTGTGGCTTGTTATGCCTGCGAAAAAACGCATAACAAGCCACACTGACCCACTCTTTCCATTTGCCTATGGTTTGGGATTTTTTTTCTTCCTTTTCTCCCCTCTCCCCCCCCCTCCTTTTTTTCCGGCAAACATAACAGTAACAAACTAATTAACCTCTAGCATGGATTAGTTTGATCAGCTCGCAGCTTTTCCTAACCTTCTTGACATGAAATCATGGCATTAGTAGACATGGCTGCGGTTACATAATTTTCCAAGAAAAGCTATAATGGGAGATAGAAAGGATAGAACGTTGGTTTCAAGACGCTATCCACCATGTTGCATCAACAAAACTGCACAGGAGGCTAACCTTGACTCGTTTCTGCACTGTCAATTATAGCTGATTCAATGGATCTATCACCCATGGGGACCTTGGGGACCGTGTGATGGTAACCCTAGGCTGCAGGCGTTAGATGCAGCATAGGATTAACTAGGTGAGTAACGCGGTAATTACTTGGCGTTTCCCTGAGACGCCGACTGTTAAGATGAGCACGACGCCTGCGAGAGACGGAAACACCCCGACAGGCTTATAGACCGTGAAGACCTCAGCCCCCATGACAGAGCAGAAGAGCAACGAGTCGGTCGATATTACCACCCCAAAAGCTGCCACCGATGCCTCAGGGCCCCATAGGTCAGGAGAGAATTGCCTTGGTGACCCAGGCCTCCACCAAAACGGCAAAGAGGTTCTTGGCTCGGCGTGCTCGCTTTGGCCGACACAAATGGCAAACACAAGCCACCCCTCTCTTCAAGCAGTGATTGCAGGGGTAGCAACTAAACCCCTAATCTACTATTATTCCCAAGACAGCATTTATGCAGGCTAGTAACTTGCAAGATACAAGAGTTGAAGTATAGAAGAGAAAGAGGTGCTGCTGCTTTTAAACTAAAATTGGTGATTATGGAAAATTTCAGTGTCTAAAAATATTTAGAATTTAGACAAAAGGTTTGCTACTAAACTGAAAGATTTGTCTCAGTTTAGGATCTCAAGACAAAAAGGCCCTATTAACCCATAAGCAACAACCGAAAGCTAGTGGGCGTCATTGTGTGTGATCCCAACAATTGCACCTCCATCCAGACCCCCGATAAACTCTGCCGCCTTCTTTGCCGCGTCTCGGAAATCGCCCTC